TGTTGGGGGAGTTTTGTTGGTACCAGGGATCGAGCTCAGGGCAATGTATCTTTTAAGAGATGAGTCTTCTTGGGGCTGGTGGTTGAGCTCAGTGCTGCTGCCTGCCTTGCAAGTGCAAGGTCCTGAGTTCAGTCCCCGGCACATCCTGCATGGGAGACAGTGCCTCCTCTCCTCTCACAGAGGCAGCTCCCCCTGAGGTCTGGGTCTCAGGGAGCTGTTGTGGACCACTGAAGTGCACAGATTCCACCAGTCCTCATCCTAGTCCTGCCCGTCGTCCCTCCGAATCATCCACAAAGTGGCACCTTTTAAGTGTCCAGCTCTTCGCTCAGGTTGATTTGGCCCACGGTACCAATCATGGGGGATGCCCAAGAGGCTGTCACAGCAAATGAGAAACTAGAGTGTAGATTAGACCTGTTGTGCTGCACACAGCACTTGGGAGGAAGTTTTTGCATTTTCATTTTTCATATATTTACTTTAATCCAGACTGGGGTCAGGTAAGTTTCCTTCTCAGTGGAACTCAGGTTTGTACCTTCGTTCAGAAGGTGCTGCTGTTAAGCCTCACTCGCATCCCCTCCCATCCTGGGAGGCCCCCAAGTGCCTCAGATTGTGAGGACAGAGACTCCTCTGTGCTTCCAGCTCACCCTAAGCAAGCAGGCCTCCGCCGTGGCCTTGTCCTCCTGCCCATGGGCTGAAGAGTGGGCCTGACCGCTGCATTCCCAGTGCCCTCGGTCATCGAGCTCGTCTCTCCTCTCTGAGTCTCCCAGGGTCTGTAGGTCTGGGCCAGCCCGTGCAGGGTGATTAGCCAGTCTCAGAACTCCTGCAGTCCAGTGGATGTCAGTGTAGAGGAAGGATTTTGTTCTGTAAGCATTTGCTGTGTTGCTCATGGCCTTGAAAACTTCGGACAGGCGCCGCTTGGTTTCATCATCATCCAGTTAAATGAAGCCAACCACAGAGCAATGGAGCCCCCCTGCTGCTTTTTGGCCACATTTGGATTCAAAGTGAGGACATTTGTAGTGTGCTTTATGGACTCGCCCAGCTCAGTTTGCAGTGTTTATGATGGAGAAGAGCTCGGTGAGCATTATTGAAGTGATACAGACTAGTCCGTGTCAGTAATTGGTTTAATACTGAGCAGTCTGGTCCCTTTAAACAGACCAGGTAGGAGCAGGCCCAGGAGTGTACCTAGTTGTCACCAGTGCTTTGTCCTAAAGTCAAGATAGGGAACTTCAGGCGGTCTGTGATCAGATAATATGAGAAAATTCTAGAGCCTCCCCCAGATGCTGAATTTGCATGTGAGGGGGCCACTTAGGAATAGGCGTCCGACCAGAGGAGCGCCTTTTGAATCTCCTCAAAACCGAGTCTGCCTTCTTGCGCCCTGGAATGCAGCTGGATGGCCGAGGAGCAGCAAGTTAGGGATGGTTTTCTCAGGCAGGTGTGCTCCCTGTTGTTGCCTTTAGGGAACCCCAGCTACCCCCACATCGCCTATCCAGGGACTGTGTCCGTGTGCAGGCACAGGCTGTGTCGAGTTGAGGTTTGGAGGGCCTCCTTCTGGCAGTGGGTCACGCTTCAGAATGCGGGGCGAGCTGCATTCAAGTTTATGTCTTTTGCCTTCATTTGTCTGACAGCTTTTGACTTCCTCTAGGACCAGTGGGAAGATTGATAAGTTCACAGGAGCGACTGTGCTGCAGGGTAGAGGGACACATTCCTGAAACCTGTGTCAGATCTGCAGAATGAGTCAGCTTGAGAGAGTCCAGGGTCCCAGGCGGGCCGTTTGCTCAGGGCATCCCCTCAGCATTCCTAGGGCTCAGAGCAGTGAGGAGGGGCTGGGGCTGGACTTGCAGAGGATGGAATGTTGACAGATGCCTTACAGCGGACCGGATGTTTCACATGTTCTGCTGGTCCTGACCGACCAGGAAGATGCCCGAGCCAGAGTCCTGGGCGGCTGAGCAAGCAGTGCTCAGAGGCTTAGCGGCCCTGGTGTCAGAATCAGGCCCGTCATGCCAGCAAAAGCTTTCTTCTGCCTGCCTTGGGGGATATCTGGCATTGGGGGTTTCTGCTCCCCTACTCCCACGAAGGCCCGTCCCTCCCCAGGTCTCCAGGGAGGCACATTTTCAAGCACGAATCTCTTTTGTTTAGTTCTTCCTTCCCACCAGGATCTTTCTTTGAAGTCCACTGCTGCATGCGTGCAGGCCTCATGTTCACGCACCACCAGTCACTTCCTTTTGTTTGATTGAGTCCATGTCCAAACCACACGGTCCATGCATCATTTTTTACTGCACTTACTAGATCTCTCTCTCCTTATGAAAGAGGCCTTCATTTTTTAATTTTTATTTTTTTTACTTTTGCACTAGAAGTCTATCTGATTGCATTAGCTTAAACTTTGGCAAGCATTTCTAATCTTACAGTGTGCGGTCTCTGTAAGGTAAGGCCTCAGGTCCCTGCCCTTGCCCTCTCACACCTGAGGTCCCCCGCCACGGCAGAACCAATCGGCTGGCTCCTGGAGCTCAGTGGCTTCCCCAGGGGCTTTGCCCCACTCCTCCTCCCCCCCAGACACCATGCTTACCACATACAGCCCCTAGCTGCCCCTGCCCTGTTCTCAGCCTTCTCCCCTGACCATGTGGATTGGAATTTCTCTCCCTGGCTTCGCCTTGAGTTCAGAGAGAATGAGAAAAGCAGCCACCCCATGGCCAGGCAGATGGCGCTGGGCTCTAATGGGGAGGGGCTTGTCCCTTGGCACAGCCTGGGACCCTGCCCGAGCCTAAGCACAGCCCTAACCATCTCCCAGGCCTGCTGTGACAGGGCCCAGACCCCATCCCCAGGGCCCTCCCTGCTCCCCCTGGATCCATACTAGGGTGGCGGAGGGGAGTGGGTACAGATCTGGGAGTGGAGAAGCACAGGAAGGAGGAGCACTTGAGGCCAGAGCGGGCGCATTTACTGTCTTCTCTGCCTTCCCTAGGATCCACGCACATTCTCACCCCACAGAAACTTCTGGACACGCTGAAGAAACTGAATAAAACAGATGAAGAAATAAGCAGTTAAAAAACATAAGCCGCCCCTCCAAACCACGACCCCTTCCCCACAGTGCTCCTCAGCTCCCTAGTGCGACACCTCAGTTATTTTGCTGCCTCCTGGCCCTGCACGCCCTGGCTGGCCCTGTCGCGCTGCATTCTAGTGTTTCATGATGCCCTCTTCTCGTTTGGATCAAAAAAGAATAATGCATTGTGTTTTTTAAAAAGAGTATCTTATATATGTACCCTACAAGGAGGAGTTCACGTGCAAGCGCTGTACCGCAGAGGTCAGTGAACTCTAGAACGACTGGCCTCCTCCCCGTTATTTATGATCCTGTGGCCTTGTACATAGCCCCAGCGACATGTGCAAATTGCTTGAGTATGGAAAGATAAGAAGTTTGGGGGCCGGGAATTTAGCTCAGTGGTTCCGCCGCCTGCCTCGAAAGCATGAGGACCCGAGTTCGATCCCTGGTACCAAAAAAAAAAAAAGAAGTTTGGGTGTTGTTATGATCTTGTTTTGGGTTGTTCCTGTTCCAGTCGGGACTCATAGGGCTGTCTGTTCTCAAAGTATTTCACACTGAGGAAGAATCTGTTCTCTTCACTCCAGTTCCTCCCCCTTGGTGCCTGTTCTCGTCCAGATCAGCTGAGAAGTGACAGTCAGGGGACAGACACGTTGTGAGGCTGGAGAGTCTTCCCCCACCAGCTCGTGCTCCCGGTGGTTATGGCTACAGGTGGGGGCTGACGGGGTTCGCAGAAAGCCAACCTGGGTATTGGCTGGCATCTTCTCCACAGCTGGCAGTGCCCTCCCTGACCTGTGTCCCCAGAGCTGTGACGCTGAGAGAAGTCCCCCAGCCTGAGTCACCGTGGCCAGATGGATGAAGAGCAGTTGTTCGCTGGGACCTCTGGGGAGACAGGCCTGCCCACTCGACCAGACCCCTTCCTGCCCTGGCAGTGTCCGTAACAGCCCCTTTTCACTGGCAGGGTCAGTCTGGGAAGGCTCGAGTGTCAGGAAGCCCTGGTCAGGGGACCCTCTGCTGGAGGAAGGCCCGTGGACCTGAAGAACGGGGCCCCTCTGTCCTCTCATTGGATTGAGGCCCTGCCGGTCCCTGTCTTGCAAGCAACATTTGTTAGATTATCCTCAGTTTAAAATACTTACAATTCTTTATTTTGTATATGTCATTGTGGTCGTAAGAGAAAATGATCATTTTATTCTCTGTATAAAAATGTAGCTGTAAAGCAGAAATTAAAGAAACAGATGCTGGAAGGATGTCTCCTCATCCTCAGGACTCAGCAGTTTCCCGGTGTCGGGGAGTGAGCACACTGCTTGTTCTGCTGCTGTTGTCAGGAAATTCGACAGTGGAAGTCACAAAAACGTCCCTGCCCAGTCCCCGCCTCCCTCCCCCTCCCGCACTGCGTATTTTACTGTGTCCTGTGATGTGGTGTATGCTAGCTCAGCGCAGCCTCTGCCTTCCTTGACAATGTGTTCCTCACCCTCGGTTAGGTGCATTGTGGCGTTCTCTCTCCTGGCTTTGAAATCTCCCTCTGCACTCAGATTAGTTTTCAGGTCTCCTCCTGGTCGCCCCCTCCCCTTAAGAGATCTAATTTCCTTAGGACAGAACTGTAGGACCTTGCATTGGTTTGTTTCTTACCGTCGCTGCTTGTTCTGTCCCTCCCTCTGACCAAGCAATGCTTCAGGACCTCGTTTGTCAAACGTGTTGGTTTTCCTTTCTCTGTTATTTATATAAAAATAATTTATCAAAAGGATATTTTAAAAAAGCTAGTCTGTCTTGAAACTTGTTTACCTTTAAATTATCAGAATCTCAGTGTTTGAAAGTATTGAAGCACAAACATGTATCATCTCTGTACCGTTCTGTACTAAAGCACTCAAGTCTAATAAATAAAGAAATCGGCACCCACTCACATTGTCCAGGTCAACTCGCAGGCTGGTTTTACTCTGGGGAGTGGAAGGAAAAGCTCTGCAGTGGTCCCTGCAGAGGAGGCCAGCCGCCCCCAGCCGCATCTTCGCCGGGATCAGGTCGCTGTTCTTGCGTTCGGTCTGTGGCTGTCTCCCATTTGAGGATGATGCATGGACCTCATCTTGGGCCCCGAGTAGCAATGGCAGTTGCAGAGGCAGGCCGTCCGTGCCTGTTTCTCTCCCTGTCTAGGGTGCCCCTGCCTCGGACACTGCAGGACCCTGTCTGCAGGTGCCCCCGCTCGAGCACGCGCTGCTGGTGTATTTAGGGGATGCAGTGAGCTGGATCCCTTCATCAGCATTGCTGCCCCCTCCTTCCTTTCCATCCCGTATGTAGCAGAATTTCCAGATTGGACTCTAGTGCGTGTCCTGCTTCTCTTGAAGCCTGTCCAGGACCTGGGGAGTAGACCCAGAAGCAAGGGTCAAGGTCACACATGGCATCTAGAATACGGGGCTCAGGGCAGTGGAGCTTTTCCACCTCATTAAACCCTGTTCTCCAGCCAGGACTTGGAAATGGTTTGAGTATATCCCCCAAGGGCCTGGGCTTTGGTGGCTTTAGAGAGGTGGTGCTGGGAGGTGACAGAACCTTCAGGAGATGGGACTAAGAAAATAATCAGATCACTGAGGGTGCTGCCCCTGGAAGAAACTATGTGGTTGATACGGGATCCTGTTAGTTCTAAGAGGATTATTAGCAAAGAGCAAGCCTGGCCTCTGTCTTTGGCCTCCTGTCTTGCATGTGATCGCTGTCTCACATGCTTCTATCGTGAGACCCTCAGCAGAGCCAGCCTGATGTCAGTACCGTGCCCTTGAACATCCAGCACAATGAGCTAAATAAACCACTTTTTTGCATTTGCTGCCTAGCTTCGAGTATTTTGTTACAGTAACAACAGCAAATGGCTAAGACTCCTCTTTGTAGCATTGAGAAATGTGACAAGGCCAAATGTTGGAATGTTCCCTACTGCAACCCCTGTGAGACGTCTGTTGTAAAGTGGTGATGATAGAGACCATTCACTGACCATGCCAGGCGCGTCTGTTAAGCAGGTCCTCTCCAAGTTTATGGACGAGGAAGCCGAGGTGCAGGATATGCAGTAATCCTTGAAGCTCACTCTTAGTATCCAGATTCCTCTGGTCGTCACTCAGTAGTCATTTCACCATTAACCAGATTGCCTTGGAATGAGATCCAGGGTTGCGAGTTTAAAACTCATTCTTGGCGGAGTCAACGTGAAAGCAATGTAAGACATGGCTTCTCCTAAGGCCATCTCACTGCAGGACCGTGGGAATGGCTCTTGAGCTATTTTTGACATCCTTTAGCCAAGGCTTTCTGTCACCTCCTCCCCCGACTGCCACCCAAGAGCAAATAAGCATGGGGCTTTTCACCCCTAGCCAGAGGCCCAGCTCTCTGTCACACAGCACAGCCAGAGCCCAGGGCTCCAAGTCTGGTGTGTGGAACACCTCGGAGGGGAGGAGTTCTGAAGCAAACCAGAGCTTCTCCAAAACCTTGATCTCTGACGAGCAACCCTAAAGCAAGCTGCCGCTGGTCACCTGTCCCTGGGGAGGCCACGGAATGGCACAGCGGTGGGGAGCGCAGACCTGGCGGGATCCGCCCCGGGCCTCTCCCCACAGGACCTTGACGGAGAGACTGGTTCCTGTGGAGAAGCTGAGCCTGGCCGCCTGGAGCATTTGAAGCATTCTGTCACCAATGAGGATGGTGACACCCAGTGCAGCCTGGGAAAAGGAGTCCACGAGCAGGTAAACTGAAAGGCACAGGCGTGCATCAGCCGGAGAGGGGACACACTGCATTCACCTGGGATACTCCAGAGACTCATGAGTGAAGAGCAAGCTGTGGAAGGAGCCATGCAGAATGATGCATTTATAGACAGTTTGGAAATTCTCCAAAACGCACTGGAGAGTCAAGGGTGCAGCTCAGCAGTAGACCACTGCTTGCCATGCAAAGGCCCTGGGTTGTCCCAGCGCCAGAGGGGGAGAAGCGCTGTGTACCATTTATGGCTGCGTATGTTGCAAATACGTAAAAGCACACAGGAGTGATAAATACCGTCCGGATAGTGGCCACCCCTGGGGAAAGGATGGTTAGTACCCTGTTGCCTCAGCTCGTCGATTCCAGAAGAATCCTTGGCTTAGAAGTGCTTCATTGGCCCGGCGTGAAGACTCACACCAGTAACCCCAGCACTCAGGAGGCTGAGGCAGGAGATCCCCACATGTTTGGGGCTAGCCTGGACGGCATAGTAAGACCCTATTGCACGTACACACACACACACACACACACACACACACACACACACAGAGTACTTCATTGGCCAGGTGTGGTACACACATGTAATTCCAGCACTTGGGAAGCTGAGGCAGGACCATTGCCGTGAGTTTGAGGCCAGCCACAACCACAGAGTCCAGACCCTGTCTCAAAAAAAACAAAAATGAAACAAGAAATGCTGCATTGAACAACAACAAAAAGCAAAGACAGTCACTAACTGTGGCTAACGTATATCGAGCTCTTGTGTGCCAGGCACTGTGCACGTCGTATGTGTCCGGCTAAGCCTTCTCAGCTTCAGGAGGTGGTGTCGTCATCAGCCCTCCTTGAATACAAGGAAGCAAAAGTGCAGAGATAGAGTCACGCGGTCAGCACCCTCCTGCTGGTGCACAGCGCACGCTCTCAGGAAGATGTGGTCAGTACTGGCAGGTGGCAGGGTGATGGTGTGAGTGGAATGTGAGCCTGTGGGCGGGAGCAAAGAACTCAGCGAGGATGATGGTTTCATCCAGGCAAACCAAAGAAGAAAAGACAAAGAGGAAGAGTAAAAATTGAATTTTCTTGGGCCTGTCCCTGGTCCCTGTCCCCGGTCCCCTCGTGCATTGTCTATTTGAAAGAAAAAGAAATGGAGCTCTTAAAGCTCAACCACAAAGATAAAATGACCTAATAAGAAAGTAAGCAAGGGACTTAAGACATTTAGTTCTTGAAAAAGATAGTCAAGGGCTGGGGTTTTAGCCCAGTGGTGCCACTGCCTGCCTCACAAGCACAAAGTCCCCAGTTTGATCCCCGGTACCAAAAAAACCCAAAAAAGATGATGTTCAAATGGCAAACAAGCACATGAGAAGATGCTTAGTTTCACTAAATATTAGAGAAATGAAGATCAAAACCACAGCGAGGAGGCTGAGGCAGGAGGATCGCTATGAGTTCAAGGCCATCCTAGGCTACATAATTTAAGGTCAGCCTGGACTACTTAGGGAGACCCTGTCTCAAAGAAATCCCAAAACCAAAACAAAGCCACAACGAGATACCATCTCATGCCCACTAGGATGGGTAACATTTTAAAACACATGAAGCGATTGGTCTCCAGGATGTGGGGTACTTTTCACCTTATCGCTCCAGAGCCAGACCATGCTCTTAAGCCATGTTCTAAAACCACCAAAGCCGGGAACAAAAATACAAGAAACTTTCCAGAGCTGAGATCTGCTCAGTAGGTTCAGATGGGCAGGTGGCAAAAGCAGCCACAGGCTTCGCTGCTCCTCCCTTTGCTCAGGGCTGCCTGGTGACCTCCTCTGAGCCAGGCAGCATGGGTGAGCTTGTGCCAGCCCCGTGCCTGGCTCTCAGCAGGCACCGCAGCTTCTGCTCTTGTGACTCTGACACTGCCAGCAGACCAAGCTGAGCTAGTCTGCTCGCTGGCTAGAAGCAGTCCCTCTATTGCCCCGGCCAACAGGGACCTGCCTTAGCCACATAAGGACCAGCAGGCCCTGCGGCACACGCACCAGCTGAGGACAGGTTCACAGGTGAGTGCAGCTGAGATCAGACCAGGCCGAGCCACACCAGAAGAATCCCCAGCACTTCAGAGCTAGTTCAGTGGATGTCATCTGAAGCCACTAAATACTGAGTGTTTGTTACGCAGCAAAAATCACTGATACAAAGGTGTTGACTTGCAGCTACCTTTCAGCTTTGAGTGTGTGATGTATATTGCGAGTGACAGAACAGACCGCATCTCAAAGAGCCGATCATTGTCTTGGATGTGAGATCTGAGTATCACAGTCTCTCTGACACTTGCTGCCATTTCCATGACCAAAAAATGTTCCAATTCAGTAAAGGGGAAAAAAACACAGAATGACCTGACCTCCTACGGAAGCCACATAAAAACTCTCCCTTGAGTGAATGGATGTAAACAGTACCTGCCTGTCTGTGATGGGAAACTATTTTAATTTAGTTTTAGGTGTTTCTCCACACCTTTTTGATGAATCTTCTCTCTTCTGAATGTACACAGAGCACCGTGTGCACTCTCGGCCCGTTAGTCTCTGATTACCACTGAGGTAGGGAGACTGGTTGCCCAGTCAACAGCCGCCATGATATGTATGGATTGGTGGGGACCAAACAAAGGCCCTGCAGTCCCGAGGCAGACATTGACTTGCTTCGGGAATAGGGAAGTCTGGGAAGGCTGCGGCTCCAGAGGCAAGATAACATCTGTTAAGGACAGCACCAAAAAAAGCAAGTACCGGGATATGGGGAAAGATCTTAACCTTGTTTCTTTTGTGATGCTGAACTGTTCCTCATTCTACTGCCACGTGGCTGTTCCAGAAAGAATACGCTATCCCTCCCCCTGGGCTTCTCACTGTCTGATAAAAGTGGGTGAGCCCAAGAGGCACTGACCCCCCAGCACTAAGTACCCGTGAATTTGTCTTTTTTTTTTTTTTTTTTT